GCTGTGCTGTACTGTAACTCTTGCTGCAGGTCATGTTCAATCTGGCTCTTTCCAGTGTTTGTACACTGACACTTTTTTACATGTTCTGCGACGGGTGACTCATCAAAAACCTGCTTAGCAGGACCGACGCAGGTGAGCCCTGTTTTGTTTCATTATTCTTTTGTTTTTATCGCTCCTAGAAGCTCCTATCTTGTCTGCTGGAGCGCAGGCTAGGCCAGAAACGTTTTAGTGCTTTTGATGAGCGCAGTTTACAAGACGCCGCACAAGCCACCCCCATCCTGGGTTCGTCTTGAGCCCTGCCCGTGGCGATGCTTTTTAAAAACGTGTCCTACTCTGCGAATGTGGGATCATTGACTTCGTTTTTAAGAATCCCTTGTGGTCCTGAGGCCCAGGTGGCCTTGGATGACAGACTTCCTGGGCGCGTGTGTGGTGCAGAAGTAGAATGGTGATAGACTTGATGGTGTCAAGAGTGCGACTAAATGGAAGTTGTTAACTGAAGATAACAACGACAGTTTCACCCATCCATCTGTTTCTGGGAAGCTGGAGCCCATCCCAGCAAGACATGGGAGCACGACAGGACACCAGTCCATCACAGGACACGCACACACACACATCCTGGACAGGACACCAGTCCATCACAGGACACGCACACACACACATCCTGGACAGGACACCAGCCCCTCACAGGACACACTCACACATCCATCCCCTGGACCGGACACACACACACACCCACCCCCTGGACTGGAGACACACACCCACACCCACCCACACCCTGGACAGGACACCAGTCCATCACAGGACACACAGACACATCCACCCCCTGGACCGGACACCCGCACACACGCACACACACACACGCGCACACACAGAGACACACGCACACACCCTGGACAGGACACCAGCCCATCACAGGACACACACACACCTTGGACAGGAAACCAGCCAATCACAGGACACACTCACACACACCCACCCCCTGGACCGGACACACACACACCCACCCCCTGGACCGGACACACACACACACACACCCTGGACAGGACACCAGTCCATCATCAGCAGCCATGTCACCCTGCAACTCACAACTGGCAACCCACTGAAGCTAAGCAGGTGTGAGCCTGGTCAGTTCCTGGATGGGAGACCTCCTGGGAAAAACTAAGGTTGCTGCTGGAAGAGGTGTTAGTGGGGCCAGCAGGGGGCGCTCACCCTGTGGTCCACGTGGG